TAAATGTTAAAAACTCTAATTAACATATGAAATTGCCACTTGCGTGATTTAAAACTTTTAAAAATCCTCTAGTCAATTATAATTAGCATATGAATGCTAGTAAATTAAATGTTAAAAACTCTAATTAACATACATATGAAATTGCCACCTGTGTAATTTAAAACTTTTAAAAATTGTAAGTATCACATATAACTAGCATATACATGATTTAAACTTGTTGAAACCTCTAATAATCGTGCGTAATTAACATATGCCATACATCAATTGATTTATATGGATAATCAATACATCCAAAATAGTTTACATCGTGTACACAATAATTACGGCACGTACTTTCTCCTCACTATTGTTCCCTCCTTGTGATCGCTGCGTGAGTAAGGGGTGTCTTCATTTGATAGGAGGATGCTAGGGTCAATCGTCACCGTGAAAGGGGGTTGCCCATCCAACTGATCGTAATCCTCGTCAGTCTTGTCCTCAACTCCGACGATTTTTCTTTTGCCTGGGAGAACCACTTGACGCTTAGTCTCATCAGGCCCTCTGCCCTTCTTTCCTTTGCTAGACATGTCCTTCACGAAAAAGACTTGCGTTACATCATTGGCAAGGACAAAAGGTTCGTCCGAGTATCCAACCTTGTTAAGGTCAACAGTTGTCATCCCACTGTCATCAATCATTACGCCTCCACCAGTCAACCTAACCCATTGGCACCGGAACAGAGGAACCTTGAGAGGACCATAGTCAAGTTCCCATATGTCCTCGATGGCACCGTAATACGTGGCAGTTGTTCCATCGTGTCCCATGGCATCGACAAGAACAGCGCTGTTTTGGTTCGTGCTCTTCATGTCTTGGGCTCTCGTGTAGAATGTGTACCCATTGATCTCATATCCCTGGAATGTCGCGATCGACCCAGACGGTCCCCTCGCCAGGAAGGCAAGTTGTTGGTTGATCGACTCGTTACCCATGAGATGTTGTCGTAGCCACGTGGGGAAAGTATCAATGTGATGCCGTGTAATCCATGCATCGGACTTACCGATGTTCCTGGCGCGAACTAGAGCCAAGTGCTCCTCGATGTAAGGAGCTACCAATGAAGAGTGTTGCAGAACAGTGAAATGGGCTTTACGGAATAAATTGTTGTCTACCGTCGTTATTGCTTTCCTTCCGAGAGTTCCCTTTCCCCGTAGTCTTCCTTCATGGCGTGATTCAGGTACCCCGATTGGGCGAAAGTCTTCGATAAATTCTACGCAAAATTCGATGACCTCCTCTGTTCCATAACCCTTGGCGATGCTTGCCTCTGGACGAGCACGGTTATGAACATACTTCTTCAGAACGCCCATGTACCTCTCGAAAGGAAACATGTTGTGTAGGTACATAGGCCCGAGAATACGGATCTCTTTCACGAGGTGACAAAGCAGATGCGTCATTATATTGAAAAATGAAGGTGGAAATATCAACTCAAAACTGACGAGACATTGCACCACTTCATTCTGAAGGGCTTTTAATCTATCCGGATCGATGACCTTCTGCGAAATTGCGTTCATGAATGCACATATCTTTGTTATTGTTGCCCGGACATTGTCTGGAAGGATACCCCTTATTACAACTGGTAGCAGTTGTGTCATCAACACGTGACAGTCATGAGACTTTAGGTTTGTGAACTTCTTCTCCTTCGTGCTTATTATTCGCTTGATATTCGTGGAGTATCCAGACGGTACCTTTATGCTCTCCAAGCATTCAAACATACTTTCCTTCTCTGCGTTGCTAAGAGTGTAGCTGGCTGGACTCAAGTAATGGCTTCCTTTCTCCTTTGGTTCCGGGTGAAGGTCGCCGCGTTGTTCCATATGCTTCAGATCATTACGTGCTTCCAGTGTATCTTTCGACTTTCCGTATACACCTAGGAAGCCAAGAAGGTTTACGCAAAGGTTCTTAGTGAGGTGCATCACGTCGATTGCGTGGCGTACGTCCAAGAATTCCCAATATGGTAACTCCCAAAATATAGAGTTCTTTTTCCACATCGCCGCGTGACCATCTTCGCTCTCTATATGCTGGCTTCCAGGCCCCTTTCCGAACACTACTTTAAGATCTTTAACCATATCAAACACTGTTTTCCCGCTGCGATGTTTAGGCTTCGTACGGTGGTCGGCCTTATGTTCGAAGTGCTTGCCTTTCTTCCGTACCGGGTGGTTTGCTGCAAGGAATCGACGATGACCCATGTATACAACCTTCCTACAGTGCTTAAGATACGTACTTTCTGTTTCATCCATACAGTGAGTGCAAGCCTTGTACCCCTTGTTGGACTGTCCGGATAGGTTGCTAAGTGCAGGCCAATCGTTGATGGTTACGAACAGCAGCGCTCGTAGGTTAAACTCCTCCTGTTTGTCCTCGTCCCACACGGGGACACCTTCCTTCTTCCACAACTGTTTAAGATCTTCGACCAGTGGTCTTAGGTACACGTCGATGTCGTTACCAGGTTGCTTGGGGCCTTGAATAATAATCGGCATCATTATGTACTTCCTCTTCATGCATAGCCAGGGGGGAGGTTGTAGATACACATCGTAACGGGCCAAGTGCTATGGCCGCTGCTCATCTCTCCAAAAGGATTCATGCCATCCGTACTCAAACCAAACCGTATGTTTCGTGCGTCCTTTCCAAATTCTTTAAATTTTCTGTCGATGTTTCGCCACTGCGAACCATCGGCGGGGTGTCTCAGCATCCCGTCCTGTTGACGCTCTTCTGCGTGCCATCGCAACATTCTAGCATTCCCCTTGTTCCTGAACAAACGCCTTAGCCGTGGTATTATAGGGAAATACCACATCACCTTAGCAGGAATTCTCTTCTTTGTTAGCTGCCCGTCAACTTCTCCTGGATCGTCCCGTCTAATCTTGTATCGTAGTGCTTTGCAAACAGGGCATGCTTCTAGGTTCTCATACTCCTCACCGCGATATAGGATACAATCGTTCGGACATGCGTGAATCTTATGAACTTCCAGTCCTAACGGGCAGACTATCTTCTTAGCCTCGTACGTTGTCTCGGGCAATTTGTTTCCCCCCGGAAGAATGTTCTTGACGAGTTTCAATAAATCGCCAAATGCCTTACAACTAAATTTCTATATATTCTTTCTTCCCCACACACATTTTCTCTCTCATCAACTTACAACTAAATTTTGGAGACAAAAAAAGTGTGCAAAACATAGGTGCAAATGTAGTATGACAAAAAAAAACATTGGAGGATGAAGTTGCAAACCTTTTAGGCACCTCCGATTTGTATGTAATCACCAAAATAAATTCAATAGAAATTTTGGCATGACCTCCCCTCTTTTTTGAAGAAATTTTGAAGCTCACTCGGGCAGCTGGAGGAGGAAGAAGACATATATATAGGGGTGGGACTTTAGTCCCGGTTGGTAGCACCAACCGGGGCTAAAGATCACCGGGATCATTAGTCCCGGTTGGTATTACCAACCGGGACTAAAGTTAAGATCTTTAGTCCCGGTTGGTAGCACCAACCGGGGCTAAAGATCACCGGGATCTTTACCAACCGGGACTAAAGTTAAGATCTTTAGTCCCGGTTGGTGTTACCAACCGGGACTAAAGATCCCGGGGGGGCCTGACAGGTCCTGACAGCATTCGAACCGGGACTAAAGATGATCTTTAGTCCCGGTTGGTAACACAAACCGGGACTAAAGATCAAATATGCCCGTTACCCTTTTGAACCGGGACTAAAGATCATCTTTAGCCCCGGTTTTTATTGCATCCGGGACTATTGTGGAAATCGGCCGACCGACGAAAGATGGTTTCTCCACCAGTGGGTTATCTAGCATCAGGCCCAGGCGACTGGGGACGAACGAGGAGGGCGGCACTATGCGCGAGAGATAGTGTACGTACAATCGAGTTCGTTGGAGGCTCAAATGTGGCCACCTGAGGTATAAAACAATCGGATACCGTTGCGACGGACAAAAAAAAAGAGTACAAAATGATGTTAAAATCAACTCAAACCAACACAGATCACATATCAACATCTGAACAGAAATATATTCAATTTTTATAATAGTAGAAATTAATTAGTTTTTACGTAATTGATATGTTATAATGTACAAGCCACTACTAGTTGCTAATCAAGAGGTCTAAGCGGTCTGATCCAAGTCCAACGGTTCAAAATCTGCATGATTGGGGTTCCAAATCGGTCAATGTATGAATAGGTTATGAAAAATTTAGGGACTAGCTATCCATCATTTTTAGGTCCAAATCACACAGATTTTAGATAGTTGGATTAGGCTCATTTGATCACTAGATTAGAAGAGTCTATACATGTATCAGCATATATTAATTATATATATTGCATGTATTTTATTTTTTAGATCTTTACATTACAAAAAAATTATCACCAACACATCTACTAAAAGTTACAGTGTAATATCACTATAGTTACACTGTAACTATAGTGTAATTACGGTGTAACTATATAAGTACACTTACATGTCATATCAACAGAATTTACAAATGTAATTTTAGTTATATAGTACTGTAAGTTTAGTAATTACACATGTAAGTTTAGTATTTGCACACTATAATTACACATTGTGGGGCATTGTCGCTATTTTTTGTTGCATTGAGCCGATAAACCAGTGAAAAAGATACTACATCATGTCAGGTTTAGAGTAAAATAAAACTCCTACCTCAGGGGACGGGTACCGAACACCCTATCTAACCCTACATCACAGCCTCGGTACAGATCTATACGTAATCCAACGGATGAAAATCTGACAAATTTTGACCGAGAAATCTGTCACCAGATGCGTAGCAAATTCGAAAGTTTATACTAAAAAAAAGGGAAATACACAGCGCCTACGGAAATAGACCGAGTCAATACGTAACGGGCCATACCGACAAACCCTTCGGGTGGATGGGCCCGATTCACCCACGGCCCACAAAGCTGGGCAACCCAGTCAACCACTCGCGTCTGCCGTCTTTGGCTCTTTGCCCAGGTAGCAGCAGTAGTAGTACTAGTCAGGTTCCAGCGAAGGAACGCCAAACCAGCGGCAGCAACCACCTTTGGTTCGTCCCCAACGCCACGCCGCCACCAACCGCGCCGCCCACCGCCCACGACCTCCACGCCGCCGCCGCCGCCTCCGCCTCCGCCTCCCCCTGCCGCTGCGCGCCGCGGGTCACCCGCTGCCGCCCCCTGACACCGGTGCGTGCCCCGTGCCCCGTCGCCCGGTCCACCCTCTCCCCGCCGCCTCTCTCGCCATCTTCCGGTGGCTCGCCGCGACCAGCCCCTGCCTTTGGCCTCGGTTGGTTTGCCCCCCTCCCCCCTCTCCGGATTCGACGTACGGTTCGATCCTCTTCATTTCCTTTCTAGTTTGGGATTCTAGCGTCGTCTTGTACTGTAGCTCCGTCGCAAAATCCGGCACCGATTCGAGCAAAAGCTGGTGGTTCTGCGGGGGCGGAAGGGAGAAGGGTTTCGAGGTAGTTTTCTCGGGCGGGATGGGATTATTGGTTGGATTGCTTGTTGATCCTTGGCGCGATTTAGCGGCGAAGATAGCAGATCAGTTTGGTTTTGGGAGATGTATCATGAATGTAGTAGCAGCTTCGTTTCTCTGCAGTGTTGGGTTGTTTGCCAACAATTTCGCTGATCCTTCCCTTTGGGTATTGCAGGTTGGAGTGGCTGATTTGGTGCGATAACATCCCCAATCTTCAGCTTTGCGGTGTGGAACGGGAGCAAGCTGCAGCGTGGGAGTGGAATTAGGGTATGATATGTGGTAGTAGCTACTTTGTGAGGAGAAAGCACAAAGGGTGGTCACTGATTCAGGGTAGGTTTTTGAGATTGTATCTGGTGGTCACTGATTCGGGTGGCGTCAGCTATATTGGGTGATATTATGATGAAGCAAATATTTGGGCGGCGGAAGAATGCCAAGTCAGCTGATAAGGATTTCTTTTCTGGGACGAGCCCTTCCGTGTTGGACCAGGTTTCAGGTCTCGGAGTTGCTGATAGGGCCACGTCTAACTTGGGTAGCCAACCGCCAATTATCTCTAGTACTGGGCTCAGCTATGGGAGTGGAAACCGTGTAGAGAATCCAAACACAAGGACAAATGGCAATTTGTATTCTTCTAGCTTTCAACCGTTGCCGAGCTTTAAAGATGTGCCAAATTCGGAGAAACAGAATCTGCTGATCAGAAAGTTAAAATTGTGCTGCATTGTGTTTGACTTTACTGATCCGACAAAGAACATACAGGAGAAGGAAATGAAAAGCCAAACTCTGTTGGAAATTGTCGATTATGTTGTGTCTGCCACTGTTAAGTTTCCTGAAATAGTTATGCTGGAAATTACAAGAATGATTTCAGCAAACTTATTCAGGACACTAATTTCTCCACCCAGAGAGAAAAAGGTGCTTCAAGCTTTTGATTTAGAAGAGGATGAAGCAGTGATGGATCCTGCATGGTCACACTTGCAGATTGTCTATGAGTTGCTATTGAAATTTATTCAATCTCCAGAAACAGATGCCAAATTAGCTAAGAGATATATCGACCATTCCTTCATTTTAAGACTACTTGACATCTTTGACTCAGAAGACCCTAGGGAGAGGGAGTACTTAAAGATGACACTTCATCGTATCTATGGAAAGTTCATGGTGTATCGGCCATTTATTAGAAAAGCTATCAATAATATATTCTACCAGTTCATCTATGAAACTGAAAAACACAATGGCATAGCTGAGCTCTTGGAAATTTTAGGAAGTATCATCAATGGATTTGCTTTACCACTCAAGGAAGAGCATAAGTTGTTCCTGGTACGGACCTTAATTCCACTTCACAAGCCAAAGTGCATCGCACTGTACCATCAACAGTTGTCTTACAGCATCACACAGTTTGTTGAAAAAGATTGCAAGCTCGCAGATACTGTTATCAGAGGCCTCATAAAATACTGGCCTATCACAAACAGCACAAAGGAGGTGATGTTTTTGGGGGAATTGGAGGAGATACTCGATGCAACCCAACCTGCAGAGTTCCAAAAATGTATGGTTCCCCTTTTCCGCCAGATTGCATGCTGCCTTAATAGTTCTCACTTTCAGGTAATTTTTCTTACCATGCACTTGATGAATGTCACCTCTGTGCAATTCTGTTGCCTACTTTGCTAAAATTTGCATTGTAGTTGAAACAAGTACATATTTGTCTGAAATATTATTGGTCTGCTAACTGTGGTTGTATTCATTGCTTCATAACATGTTTCTTCTGTTTATCTATATTTAGCAGTATTGTAAAGGTATAGCATTTGATTGCTTACATTCTAATCGGGATGCTGATGTATTTGGTAAATCTATATTCCTACGTCTTAATGAAAACTTGCCTTTTCTGTTTTCTGCTGTGCCTTCTACCTTTTTTATTGTATCTATTTGTTTGGGAAGAGTGATTTTTTTTTGTTTCCTGAATTCTCTCCCTCTTTGCTCTTCCTTTAATGGACAACACTAGTTTGGTGCTAGTAATTCTATTCTGTTGTATTGAGAAGACAAGCTTAAATGGTATGATAAACCTATTTTCTACTACTAAGTAGATTTCTGACCATTTTCTTGTGCTATTATTTTTTGCATTGTTCATTCAGGTGAACAGTATATTTACTTTTGGTTCCATGCATTTATAATCAACTTGGTATTTCTCTTTTCTCGATATATCTTTCCTAGAATGTTGTCCCACATAGCTAGCTAGTTTCTGCCATTGCCTGTTTGAGGGTGTTGTCATCTAATCATCATAAGCACTTGTTTTTTTTTTGTGAATTTGATGTTGGTTAAGTTTTAAGAATAAGAAACTATAACTTATTTCTTGTTTTCTGATTTACATATTTTTGTTGTGAATTTAGCTTTGATTGGCACATCATAATTATCATTTGTGTTTCAGGTAATATAGGTCTGTTGAGTTTTCTATGTATGAATTTATTAATCATATGTTCATGGTATTTCATAGTTCGGACAGTGGATATAAGCTGTATCGCATATCTCTATATCCTTTTTGTTTGCGCAAACTAACTCATCCTAAAATGATTAATTTAGCTTTTTTGTGATATGTCATAATAACAATGCAGAATAATGTATTCATTTTGAGGATCTGGAACTCGATGTGATTTGCTGTTAGTTATATATGACCTATTTTCTTAGGGCCCATTTGGTAGAGCTCGAACTCCTAAATTTTTCTTCAGGAGTTGGGCCTAGAGTGGAGTTGTGGAGTAACTTAAACCCAGAGTCGTGCCAAACAGGCACTTAGTTGTCCATCAGCGCCTCATCGGTTATTAGTTCATAGACACACTGAAAGGGAATTTTACATGGCAAACAAAGTACTCTTGGGGATTAGTAAATTGAACATCCATGGTTTTTCAACTGAAAACTCTTTTGCTAGGGGTGGAAGATGTGCTATATTTTCTTTGATGATTAGCATGCAAGCATATTAACCTTTGCCAGCATCACAAAATTAATCTGGCAATTTCCGGATCGGATGTAGGGGCAATTAATGATTTACCACTGCATTACCAGATCTTGTAGAAACAAGAAAATTGACTCTGGTGATCACAACTCATGGTGATGTTGGGTCATGTACATCCAATTAGAATTATAACTTTCTTCAGTTAGAAACTTAGAATTTGTGCACTTTTGTTAACTGTCTCCTGTTGCGGTCATTCTCACCTTGTCCAGTTTTAGTGTTCCCAATGTAGATCTTCCTGCTTTCATGGATGTGCTGTGTTTGTTGCTACCCTAGTGTTGCCTATTTGTGTTTATAATTGATCATGATGCATGATGTGTTAGTTTAATGATTATAGTCCAATATTTGTATGATCTGTATGTCATTTTCTGTTTGTTTTCTTATATCATGATAGTAGCACAAATTCACTAATAGTAAATGTGTATATTCTCCTTGTAGGTTGCCGAGAGGGCATTGTTTTTGTGGAACAACGACCACATTGAGAATTTAATTAGACAAAACAGTAAGGTGATATTGCCTATCATCTTTTCTGCACTGGAGAAAAATGTAATTGAGCACTGGAACCAGGCTGTCAAAAGTCTCTCTCTTAACGTACAAAAGTTATTCTCTGATCGTGACCCTGAACTTTACAAAGAATGTTTGAGGAAGTATGAGGAAAACAAAGCTAAAGAAAAGGATCATAAATTGAAGCAAGAATCTGTATGGAAACGCCTAGAAGAGGTTGCATCAGCAAAAGCCACAAGTGGCGAGGCCGTCCTCATCTCTCCATCCCTTGCTCGCACATCATCACTTGTGTAGGAACTTTGTTAAAGGTAAGCATTTTTGCTATTTCTATCGTGGTCGGGTCAATCTCAGCAATTTTTATATGTCTAGCTGTTCATGCAAGTTATCATATCTTCAATCCTTTTTATTGTCAGGTCTTGGAGAATCATGAGATACTGTACAGGATTGAATGTATATACAAGGTCTATGAAGGTGTGCAAATGAAGGGGGGAAAAATTCTGAGAAGGCCAGTTGGGTCAGTTAGACTAGCTTTCATTTTTGTAAATCAGATGTCTTGGGACTCCTGGCTTATTTTGTTACTTGTAGTTTGCTATGGCGAATGGTTAATCTGCCAAAAAGGGATTCTGTGTCTTTCTTTGCTTGTTTAGTTAAATATATAGGCCCTCAGGATTGTAAATGGAAGCAAATCTAGTACTCTCTGAGGGAGTGTTTGTCATAAAATGGGGGTATAGTTTATCGCTTTGTGATTATCATTCAAGTAATTTCCTCAGTCGGCACGTGAAAAACGGCGTAGGTCGTCTAACCCTAAACCCTATTTTAAATTTCAATAGGTCATGCCTGTGTCATTTGCAAAAGGTAACGGAATAGGGGTCTGGGAAGATTCAGGTCTAATGCTATTTCTGATACACTGTTTCGCAGAATAATTTGATTCATGTGAAAGGATTGATCCGGTCTTACATTGTGCTTGATCGGGTTTATAAATCGTTATGTAATTCCTCCGTTTCATATTGTAAGTCATTCTAGTATTTTCCACATTCATATTAATGTTAATGAATTTAGATAAATATATATGTCTAGCAGCGGCGGAGTTAGGATGAAATTATAGCGGGGCTAAACCAAAATGACCATGAGCGACTAAGAGAGATTTAGGGTTGGGTTAGGAATTTTTGAGCCTTTTTAGCCTTTTGGGCCTTCTAACAACCTCAAACAAAGTCTATATTAGCTCCTCATCTATAAATATATGGATTATAATTTTAGGGGGTATTATGGGGGCTCTAATGGTCTATTAGGGGGTAGGGGTAGGGGGGTCTAAAGACCGCCCCCACGTTGTCTTCGCCCCTGATGTTTAGATTTTTTTAACATCAATATAAATATAGAAAATAATAGAATGACTTACATTGTAAAAAGGAGGGAGTACCTCTGAAAATTTCATGTGAAAGGATTGTGCTATGTTATGGTTCTTCAGAGCAAGAGCTTAATTAACTAGCTAGGGTGTTACGGTTAGGGGTGGTAATTGGCCAGGGCTCACCGGCCCTTTGACAATCCAAATCAGCTCTTAAATATTTTAGCTAAAAAATTTATTGAATTTCTGCCTAACATTGTTTAACCTAACTCTTATATTTTATAGGCCAAAAGTTTAAGATCATTGCTACCTCTAGGTACGGTACGGTTCAAGATATTTATTGCAAGTTTGAAAAGCTACAAGTTCGATAACAAAGTTGGTTAACTGTATCTAGACTCATATTTTATTGATATTATCTCTAGTATACTAATCCTATCACTCCATACTAATACTCCCTCCATCTATTAAAATATTTTTAATAGTCATATTTCTAAATATGAAAAAAAATATTTTTGATAGACATATTTCAATTCAACAACCTATCATCTTAATGACTTTCTTGGATTTAATTCGTGACTCTCTTTTCTTCCACACAAAATTGGCTACATGGGCATCAAGAAGTGTAAATATTAATGAATCACTTGTTTACGAGGAATGACCAGTAGCATGTTTAAATAGATGATAAGTAGAATTACTTATCCTTGGTCAGTGTGCCAAGATGAAATATGACTATCAAAAGTTATCAAAAGTAGATGGAGGGAATACTATTTTATTTGTTTACTTTATATATATATATATATATATATATATATATATATATATATATATATATATATATATATATATATAACTACTATATGGCGCTACAGGTGCCACGTATTAGATGGTGCCTGACACAATCAACCCCCTGCCCCACCCCCACGCACATTCAATTTAAACAGACCACGTAGTTAAATTTTAAATCAGCGACCTACCACCCCGCACCCCCACATGAACTCGATCTGGTGCAAGCTACACACTTAACTGTTAACTCAACCACCCACCCCCACACGCAAGTTAAATTTTAACTCAGCGACCCACAACCCAACCCGTCCCCGACACACACTCGATCTGATGCATACCACACAGTTAATTTTTAACTCGACATATTGTGTCTATCTGGTATATATATTACGGATTCCCATTGTACAAATCGTCCACCCACTCTTTCCTCTTCCTCTCCACATTTTACGGATCAGCGACGACTTGTGGTTCCTTGCGCAGAGGAGGAACGGCGACGGCGATTAGGGGATGAGGAGTGGTGGCAAGGTGGTTCCGGTGATGGCTTGGCGATGAGGAGGAGAGGTGGCAGTTCGGGGATGAGGAGGACCGGCGTCCAGGAGGAGCGGCGGTGGTGGTTCGGGGATGAGGAGGAGTGACGAGGAGGAAGGGCGGTGGATCCGGTGGCGCTGAGGTGTGTGGATGGCGCGATGGTGGCATGTGCGGCGTCGACGGGTGACTGTGGGTGGGAGGCGATGCGGCGGCGGATCAGGCTGCCACTCTGCGCCCTATGCGCGCAGATCTGACTATGGCAGCGCGGATCCGGCACGGTTGCGGGTGGCGCGTCCGCAGATTCGGTGCCCCCTTCCTCCCGCGTGGATCCTGCACGGGTGAAGACTATGGGCAGGAGGCGAGATGGCGGCGACCTTCGCGGCGGTGAGCTTGTCCTCCGGATCCATGGAGCAGCGGCGGGCATCCTTGGAGACGGCGGCACCGAGCATGCCTCCCTCCGAGTTTTCCATTTTCATCTTCTTCACCGGCGGAAGGAGCGGCCACCGCCCGTTGTTTCCGTTCTCAATCTAGAAACCACCGAGAGCCACCTTTTTTTCCATTTGACGGATCCAGAAGGAGAAGAAAGCTGCCAGGATCAACAACACCATCAATCAATTATTTTTCCTGATTTTGGTTGGACGTTATCATGTTATTTGATCTCACCGATATGTTATTGCATTATTTGTGTGTAATTAGTTTCTAATACATGTGATTCCTATATGATTAGATGCATCCGGACATCTTGCAAAAAAATTGCAATCTACATATCAGTATATTGACAATTAAAAAATTACTATATGTAATGTTTGGAGTAAAATATTTACTATTTGTAATTTGTCAGTAAAAGTAACTAAATGATGTACGATAGTTGAATCTGACCATACCTAAAAGAAAAATCCCGTTCCCTGTGGAGAGAAAACTAAATTTAGGTGTACAAGCATTATTTTCGGATCTAGGACTCTGTTCATTATCCACAACAACAGGAATCGCATGAAAAAAAAATTCCGCTTATTCCGGGGCCTCCTCTAACAGCTTATCGAATTAATGCCAAATCAATGCACGCTAGGATTTCACAGTTTTTGACCGGCGGATCCAGCGACATGGAGTTGATTTCTATCCGGTGAATTAATCATCAGTTAATTTCCATCGACGTAATTTCTGGGGAGATGTGCATCAAAACAATAAAATTCTAATAATAAAGTGTGAATTACATCACACATCGCCACCACCTCCTAATGTCTCAAAGTTTTTCATCTACTCATACCAGTTTACGATAAGTTAAAATTTAACTCATATTCCTTGTTATCAGAAACAACACACATCCATAAAAAAAGAATCTGCAAAATAACTGTGTTATTTTTCATCAGCGATCATCGTCTACCAGTAAATTTTTAACTACATAACCACCAACCCATAATTTTAAGTTAATGACGGCTCATTCATATAGCCGGAACATAGGTAAAATTTTAACTCAACAACGAAATCGCCGTAGCGCATCACCCAACATAGTATTAGTTAAAATTTAACTTCACATTCGTCTTTGTTTGGTCCGGCGGGCGAGGGTTCGTTGCTTCACATTGCGCCACATTTTCCGCAAGTTATTTTTTAACTCCATAGTCCGTTAGTTTGGTTTGGTGGGCAGTCTTTTATTTTGCGCCACAATTTCCGCCAGTTAAATTTTAACTCCCCAGTACCTTGGATAGATTTGGTGGGCTGACATCTCCTCGTTGTGTGTGGCGCCATTTTGTTCCGTGGCGCCAGTGCCTGTGTGTGGCGCTTGGTAGCGCCACCGTGTATATATATATATATATATATATATATATATATATATATATATATATATATATATATATATATATATATCCCAATACTCTATACAATTTTATTTTATTCGTTTACTCTTAATATACTATTTGCACCCAAGTTCAAGTTGCCTCTTGTATAAGAAATAACTCATCTCTTTCCCCACTTCTCTTCATCTTATCATCCAAATTTAAGTGGCACCGTCAAGCATCCGAGTCTTATCACACTTACTCTTAGGACGTGCTGGGTTGTTTGGATGCCTCATTGATGCTCATTTGCTTGTCCTAGATTTGGTTGCCCTGGTTGGGCGATACAAATGATCTTACTTGATGTACATGTTTGTTGATCAACCTGGATGACAGGGTTGGTGGGATTGTTAGATGCAGTAAATCTAGTTTGGTCAGCAAGATATACCCTAAATTTAATTACCTCTTCTTTTGCATGGGGTGGTTACCACTTACCACACAGAGTTTATGGATGAAAAATTTCAAGCCCCTAGTGAATTTACCCATGAAGCTTGGAGATTTTTTTTAAGTCCAATCAACTCAATTTGCCAATGAACTTGCTCATCTTTAAAAACTGTTGTAAGAGGTGAGTAGATTTTTACTATTGAACCTAGTGCAATGTATTCTAGGACTATAGTTTATAGTTATACTTCTTTCAGTGAAGATGGAGTACATTGGTAAACCTTATTGCGAGAGAATTGGAGACGGGCATCATGAGGGAGAGGGCAAACTCTAGCTTTTTGTGTGAGGAGATAAATGAGGGTGGCAGGGAGGTTACCCTAGAGCTCGCCCTTTGAAAGCATGCACCCCGTGGGCCTAGGTGAGATGTGAAGTTCTAACCTTTGCTGCATTTCTGCTGGGTGTGGCTTGGCATGAAAATTTTTATTGGTTCAGGGCTGTACCTACAAATTGAAGGCCCTGGTGCTAAACCTATAATAAGGTACTTTATTTAGAAGAGGGTTATATTATTAGGATATTCTATCATTAGCTACATATCTTTATTTCTGTTATATACACAAAGAAACCTAAAAATTTTAGCCCTTAGTTCGCAATCTGATTAATTCTAGTGTTTTTGGTTAGGTTATAGTCCATTCGACTCGTGCTTAATTAGTAGTTGTTAATCTTAGTTGTTCCTTAGTGTGAACTTTGTGCCTACTTTCAACCCATGATTTATAGCGATAGGGCTTTCTGTTGAGGGTCATTTATCAATAGAGATGCTAATTAGGTTTAGCCATGTGGCTTCGCAGTGGATCCAAGGATGAGTTTGAACTAAAATCAAAACTTGAAGGACTATGATGGATAAATTGAAACGCCATGTACCAAAATTGATCCTTTTGTGAAATTTAGAGGACCGATTTGGATATTCATCCTTTTCTTGGAAGTATGTAATATATTTCTCATATAATTAAATGCCTAGTAATATTAAATGTTGGTAGGGATTTCTATGGTGGTGGGATCCATCTGTATTAATTGCAAATCCTTCAACTTCTCCCTATATAAGCAATCCATGTTCTAAGTTTCTAAAATGATTTTACAATCGTAGTTTGTTCTGACAATGGACAATCCTAACCGTGGTCATGAACATGCCCATCAGCCTTCAGGGCAACAAACCAATGTTTCTTCCTATACTTCCCCAACTGATCTGGTTTTAGGTAACCATGTGAATGGATCTGATTGGGTGAACTCGTCACTTTCGGTCTTTCTTGAACAACATCGTCTTCAACTTGATCGTGCTCTACAAACCCATGTAAGTTTTGTTTGTTCACTGCTCTAGATCTAATTTTATAATGAAGTTTCCTAACTTATGTGCCTTTTTCATTTCTCGCTGAAAAAAAAGATCCAACACAAACAATTTTGATTATCTTTACATCATCAGATATCTTTGCACAATGCAACTCTATCAGCCATTGTGGACTCTATGATTACCACCGCACTAAAGGAAAAGGATGAAGAGATAGCTCGTTTACACATAATGTTGAACCAATTGCAAGAGTTGATAATAAATATAGAGTAGGTCATAGATGATTCAATTCGTTTTGCCGAGCAAAGCATTTGGATAAAATGGATGATATAGGCTCAAGTGGTTCATCTAATGAAATAGAACATACAAGCCAAAAAGATAGCTGCTTTGGAGGGAGCACAGCCCATCCTGGTCTGCAAGCTCTGCAATTCTCATGGTGCTTGTATGCTTATCCTACCATGTTTGCACCTTTGTGCAAGCAAGGCATGCGGAAACCATCTTTCTACATGTCCTATCTTCTTGTTCTCCAAAGGAAAACTCTATACATACGAACAATTTGTTATGAAATAGGTACGAAGAGTGACTACGAGCTGCTTCTTCAGCCTGTATGTTATAATCTTCTCATTAGTACTTAAGCCCATAACTAATAAAGGCCCATGTGCATCTACGTGGTGACGTGGTCCCGTCATTTTGTCAGCGATTCCCTTCAAAGCTAACCTCCTCCTTATCTTTTTACGATCTTTAAGTAATATAATTTGATCTCCATGGCTCAACAAAAAAAAAACTCAATCTCCAATAATCCCTTGATGAGCGTCCTGACCAGGTATGTCCCTGCATATGTTTTGAGTTCCACCTATATCAAATACTGTATTTCTTATGCCGTAGATCAAATATATTGTACATTCCTTGATGCTTCAATCTTCATAATTGGAAATTGCATTTTAGGACTAAAATAGCATTTTAAGAACCCTTGCATTGTCCGCTCATGAGGTAATACAGCAATTCAATTAACTTATGGTGTTGGTATCATTAATTTCATAGTAAGTCAATGCCACAATAAAAGATATTTACTGTATATGTTCTTCGTAGGGAGTCCCCAGAGAATCTTTCATGGGCTCTTAGTGTTCTGGTGTCCCCGAAGTTTATGTAGGGATTTTTCGTGCGCGCTTCGTAATAGTTTCTTCGTGTGTATAGCAGAGTTCTTCTCCAAAAGATGGTCTTCTTGAGGTTCACTTTGGTTGAGAAGATAGCCGTAACAAAATGAACAAAACTTGTGTGAATGGACCATATAAGAGAAGATAACCTTCCATTTTTTGCAGAAGTGGTCCTTGGAGTCTGTAGTGTTTCCTATAGATGCCATTTCATTTTGGTTTTATTTCTTACCTTAATATATTTTATTTTGTCATCAATATATTGTACCAGTATTTGTCGATACGATTAAGGCGAATGTTTCGTAGTTAATTCTGAACCGAATTTAACAATAATTCACCCTACTAACATACCAACAAATCCATATCAATCAAGGACAAAGATATGAAACAACATTAAAAACTCACTACAATATTTCCCCAAAAATTAGACGTTGTTTCACCTGTTTATAAGAAAATGTTTCAATACTTGAAAAAAATGTCTCAGCATTTAAAACGATGAAACATAATCGAATCACACTTGAAACATTCCGCTACAACATATGAACATTGATTTTGAACCATTGAACAAACCCGTGGACATCAAAGATGAAAACATGAAACACTATCAAAATATCCATTACAACATTTTATCCAATCACAAAGAAACATCACAAATCCACTAGCTGAAACATACACACAACAACAACCTGGTTTGGACTGCATCTTCCTCCTCTCCGGCGAACACAGGGTTGCCAAGGGCCACCGCTCGGTGCTCTCCTCCGGTCTTCGTGGGCCCGTAGCGTAGCGGGAGAAGAGGATACGACCGTCGAGGATATCGCAGTGGTGCCAGAGATCAGGGACGATAGGAAGAAGGGGCATGTGAAGTCGACGATGTCACGGGTGGCGGCGGCAGCGTAGGGGTGGGGTGGCTCCGCGGGGACGAAGCTGCCATCAACGTCTAGGAAGCTGAGCAATGGTGGTAGGTGGTTGATGGCGCGGATCCGACGGAGGAAGGTGGGCTCGGTGTTAACACAACGGAAGTTGGCGTAGGCTGTGGCGGTGCGTGCGAGGTCGGTGGGGGAGAGGAGGCGACACGGGCGAGGTCAGCGGGGGAAAGGAGGTGGCGCGGGTGAGGTCGGCGATGGAGAGAAGGCGATGCAGAACAAGTGGCTGAGAAGGTGCTTGATATTTCATTAGGCATCGGGCGCCCGAGCCTAATCATTTTCGGATGCATTACCTTGTCCAATGGCTGGTGCAGTACATGCTAATTGTACGAGTTTTGACATTTTTAGTTTAGCTAAAACATTGGTGCTCAGTGGAGCATAGCTTGCTGATTGAATTTGGTCATACAGCTTTCAACTCCAATCTCTTCACGGCATGTTGCACCTTGTGTTTTATTTGGTTCTGATGACCAAAAACACTGCGTCATCCGTTTTAACATAGTTGGTATTGTTTAACGGTTTTGCTATTTCACTTGCGACATATTTTTAGGCTTCTATCTTTCACTTTTTCATCCTTAGGATTCATATTTTTAAATATCCAACTTGTAGTTTCTTAATATTCAAAGGGGGAGTAATATAAATCTGAAAAGAAGTAAGTTCTCTTTAGTCTTTCCTTTCCTCATTTACTGAGATAATTTTTATTGGTTTTAAGTTGAACCTGTTGTCATCTTCAAAATGAGGCCCTAAAGCCGAAAGCCCAAGGCCCAAGGCCCAAGGCCCAAACCACCAGTGGCGGTGGTGAAGCAGTTCGACGACCCGCTGGGCGACTTCCGGCAGTCTGAGCGAGCCAGGCGCCGATGTGGTCCTAGCACTCCTCGGCGGGTTCCCCTTCGTCGCCGCATCGACGCTGCTACAAGATCGTGGTTGGGCCCTCGGTGACGACGGCGAAAGCTCCCCTGCTCCCACGCCGCCGTCGCCGCCGCCGCCTTGCTCCCTTGCTCCCGCGTCGTCGTCGCCGTCGCCGTCGCCGCCGCCGCCGCGACGTCGCCGGCCGCCGGACCTCCTTTCCCGCATCGCCCCGTCGGCCGGCGGCCCGGTCTGCCCAGAGCACCAAACGATAAGAGTGAGAGAGAGAGGAGAAAGGGAGAGGAGGAGAGAGGGTGATGATGTGGCAGCTGACATGTGGGGCCCATGTGGGTCCCACGCTGACTCAGCCGCCACGTTGGATAAAACCGGGTTGAAAACCACCGGGGGACCTCGGGTGACCGGTTTTGTATAGTTGAGGGACCTGGGTGACCGGTTTTGTATAGTTGAGGGACCTGTATATCTGGTTTTATGATTGGAGGATGTTTTTTATCTCAATGACAAGTGTATAGCAGGCCAAACGGGCGGCCCGGCCCAGCACGACACGGCACGCCGACGGCACGGCCCACTAGGGCACGGCCTGTTAGGCACGGCTCCTATAGCGGGCCGTGCCGTGCCGGCCCACGTGCCAAGGCCACGGCCCAAGCACGGCCCAAGAAGGTGCTGGGCCGTGCCGGGCCGGCACGGCTACTGTAGTGGCACGTGGGCTGGTAGTCGGCCCACTAGTACATGTGGCCCATAAAAAATTTGAGGGGAAAAAAAGAAAAAAGGCAGAAAAAACATAATATAAAGGAAAAAATGATAAATATAGGATAAATGTGAGGAAAATTTAGGAAATATATCATAAAATATATGGTACAAATAGGATAAAATGTGGAAAAAAATAAAAAATATGAGAAATATATGGGAAAAATTAGAAAATCGTAGGAAAAATAAATGGGCCGGTGGGCCGTGCCATGCCTGGGCCTTGCCGTGCCGGTACGCTACAGTAAACGTGCTGTGCCGTGCCAGCCCACGGGCTGAGGCATCGGCCCAAACACGGCACGGGATAACGGGCCGTGCCGGCACGGCCCACAGGCTGGCGTGCCGTGCCGGGCCTGGGCCGGCTACAGTACTGCCGTGCTCGGGCCGGCCCGGCTTGGCACGGCCCATTTGGCCAGGTTTAGACAAGTGAGGGACCTTCGGTGCACTTTTTCCTTGGCGAGCCACCTAGCTCACCGAACGGCCGAACCCACCAATCTCCATCGCTGCCTATCCACTCCATCCCCTCCTGCTACACTGCTCCGGCCATGGCCATCGCCGCCATCACGGGCGGAGGACGGCGCCCTCCCTGCCGCCGCGGGCCGGCCGCCGTGGCCCCACCCGCGAGGTTCTCCTGCCGCTGCGGCACCCACCCTGGTAAGAACAGCGGGGAGAGAGAGAGAGAGAGAGAGAGCGCTTCCAAGAAATGATATCTTTCCTACTCCTTCCAATGTTCTGTAGTTGTTTGTTATAGTATGTTTTGTTTATTTTTTCTCTCTTGTTTTATGTGACTGAAGTGGCACTAGCATACACATCTTGGCAAGCTTTCAGTCTGAATTTTAGTCTCCTCTTCTCTGATTCTGCGAGTGAAGTGGTGGCACAAGATAGACACATATTTGCGAGATTTGAGTCTCAGTTTAGTCCTAATTTAACCACGAGGTATAATCTTGCTTAGCTCAGCTTTCGCATAAGTGTACTAATCTTGATCTGAGTGGAAAAATTGGCAAGGAAAAAGGCACTCACAAAGTCTGAACACTAACTGTAGCTTGTAGTGGTTCTGTTCAAGTTCAAGTTCAGGTTTCATATTCATGTCAAATTTCCACCGCCAATATTGATTGATGTGATGTGATGCTTTTACATCTTTGCATCACTTCTCTAGACGCTTGACGGCTTGATCAAGTGTTCTTGGTCACAGTTTTGGCCATTCATCATTGTTTCTTGCGCGATGTGCGACCTCCCTAACTCTTTTACTAATTCCTGAAAAACACTGCCTTGTGAATTGCGTTGCTGCTTCCTTGACGTGTATCAGTCTCAATTCTGTCAATACTGAGCTTCTTTTTTCTTGTTCATTTTTGGAAGAACATCTGCGTAGTTCAGTTATGAAATAGGGACACCATTGTCAGTTTGTTGCTGCAATTCTAATTTGATGGGAAATTTTCCTCGTGGTTATGATATTCTTCTCTTCTGAATGTGTTCTCCACATGGTTATAATGTACTTCATTTCTGAATGGAATTTCCACAATGTTATTATTGACCTTTTTTTTCAGAATAAAATTTCCACATGAATGTATAGCCCACCCTGCTTGTGATTGAAATTTGATGAAAAGACTCTTAACACGCACGCTTTAGTTCCGAATGCAAGTAACAATGACTGAGAATTACTGGAGTACCATTTTTTGTGGTTCACTGACCAGGACAATTTCAGCATTCGCAGTTAAGATGGGCTGTTACAGCTCATCAGTTGGACTAAGTAGACTGATTATCATCATCATCGGGGGATTTGCAATTATGACACTGCAAACATTAACCTTTGCTATAATGACACTGGACCCACATTTCATTGACACAGATGGGCCCATTTGTCATCCACTCGGAGTGTCAAAATAGCGAAGCCCCAATGTTCACAGTCCCAATATTGCAATTTTCTTTTTGTGTTCGTTAAAGGAAGAGCCTACATGTTTGAAAGTCGATGCTCAAGAGCAAGACTCCATTAACCGTATCGCGACGCTGTCTGTGTTAGGCTGTACATCCTAAGATGCAAGCTGTACTGTGACAGTTTCTGTGTTGCCCTACATCCTAGACTCCTAGTGATGAAAATCATGTATAACCTTCGCTGAAATGTTCAAACGGTCGAACCATAATAATCTTAGAGTTTCCAGCTAGCGTGGTTCTGTCGGAAACTTATTCAATTATGCATACTATTTTCTTCCATACTTCCTACAACGATTTTGCACACTGTTGTGTAGGATAGGATTGGTGGAAACAATTAACATTGGTTATCTTTAAGCAATGGTGGCAATGCTAAGATGCTTATTTTCTTTTTGGTGACTCTGTGTTGTACAGTTTTTTTTCATATTTTTTTCTTTTTCTTAATAGAATGAAGTGCAGTCCTCCTATGTTTTCGAGAAAAAGAAAATCTTCAAGCAGACACATAAGAAGATTGGTGATATGACATAAGTCACTATGCTATGCCTGTCGGAAGCAAGGTGCATTGTGAATTTTTCATACTAGCTGTAACAGCTACATGTTTTAATTACTGCATACTAAAAATGCCGAGAGTAAACAGTTGAACTGTTGTACCATGTAGTAACTTGTCTAGAACCTTGTTCTTGATGTCGTTGCTGTGTCCGAAACTTTGCTTGTGCTAGCTTGTATCTACATTTTTCTCAAATTGGCTTCAGTACAAAATGAAGCTATCCCAAAATTTTAGAATTATGAATGTGATTATCCTTGCCTTGATCACTACTACTATATGTCATCATAAAATCATTTTTTTTCTTTTGGAAACTGCAACCAAACTAAATATTTTTGCAGTTCCCAGGAGGAATGTACTATCCACAATGCTATCCACTTCAACAGTCATCCTCTTCGGATCAAAACAAATCACACTAGCGGAGATAACCGGTGCCACATTCAGGGAGTACATTGACACATTTGATGGCTACTCCTTCCTCTACCCTAAAAGCTGGATCCAGGTCCGAGGAGCCGGTGCCGACATATTCTTCAGAGACCCTTTTGTCCTTGATGAGAACATGTCAGTCGAGATATCGTCTCCTTCATCGTCAAAGTATGTGACGGTTGAAGATCTTGGCCCCCCTGAGAAGGCTGCAGAGAGAGTGCTGCAACAGTACTTGACAGAGTTCATGTCGACCAGGCTGGGCGTTCGACGAACCTCGAACATCCTGTCAGCATCGTCGAAGGTTGCTGACGATGGCAAGCTCTACTATGAAGTTGAGGTGAATCAAACAGATTATACAAATTCCATTCATAATGCACAAAATCAACCTGCAAAGTTCATTTGTTTTTCCCACTTTTTGTTCAGAGATGCTTGAAAGCAACACAAAACCTGCATGAACATTCAGACAACTGTTTTTGCAGGTGAACATAAAGTCTTTTGCCAGCAACAACGAGCTGGCGGTGATGCCGCAAGACAGGGTGCAGCGGCTGGAGTGGGACCGGCGCTACCTGTCGGTGCTCGGCGTCGAGAACAAGCGGCTGTACGAGCTCCGGCTGCAGTCGCCGGAGCAGGTGTTCAAGGAGGAAGAAGGTGACCTGAGGAGAGTCATGGACTCTTTCAGGGTCAACAAGACGGTATAGCAGTAAAGATGCAGATGGAGCACAGCAGGTAGTGCTTTATCTAGTTGAGAACAGAATTTTTTGTATAGCAGATTATTTATTCCCTTCATTATTCTTTCACTTCTTTTTTGTTATCTTGTATAATATTATCATATACAGTACCTTGTGTGTAAGATTTTATATAGTACCTTTGTAAGGTTCTCTGGTGAGAAGAGCAAAAAGATCCAAAACAAGCAAAATTCATGTCAAAGTCTGGCAAATAAGTAATTTGGGACTTGGGAGCTGGGCTCAAGTGAAATCTACAATATTCTTGTAAGCTTTCATACATAACAAGACACACCAAAAGGTTTGTAAGCGTACGAGCTTGTTAATTGGTTCTAATGTGCTGCCGTATCTGGTTAGATTGCATCCTGTCCTATGGCTATGAATGCCAAGGAGAAGTTTAAACTTTACAAGAACGAGAGCTAATCCTTGTGACACCTCCCCCCAAATGCGCCTGACAACATATCAAAACATTTGCATAGTATCTGCAGAGAAAAAAAATGCTTTTCTGCACAAAACAGGGTGGTGCAAAACTTGAGAGTTTGGTCATGGTGGTTTTGAACTAGTTTTCTTTTGCAGATTTTTTCCCCCTTCTGTTTCTGCTTCTGCTTCAGTTGAGTGAGGCCAGGTGTGGTGATCTTGGCATTCCCAACAATGGCAGCCACCAATTCAGGGTCCGTGCACGCTTTCATTAGCTCCTTCTCACGGTTTGTGGCGTCAGCATTAGTGTACACAGCTGTTCTAGGGGTCTTGAATTCAAAACCTCATTACACCACATTTTTTTTTGTAAACATGATTACTAATGCAAAAATTGAGAAGTCCTTCCAAATAAGCAATTTCTTCCAGAAAATTTCATGGCCTTGAGAAAAAGAACAGCAAACCATTAGGAAAAAAAATACAACAATTTCACATGATGACACATAATCTGATAAGAGACTAAGAGGATCAGAGCTAATAATAATTACTTCAGTAGATAGCTCCTGTTCTACATGGAACAATTTATCATACCACGTCATGAAAAGATAGGCATCATAATATAATATCAACCTAATTACCTATCAAGTATTTCTTCCTGTGATAAGACCATCTCAATAGAAGGGCCTGGAACATTAAAAAAACAACTAATTACAGAAACTCTATTTGCACTGTCATAAACTAATAGTTTTCAAAGAAAAGGAATAGATTTACAATCAACTCTCATCCAATCTTATAGACAAATGAGAGCCTCAAAAATCTCAGGTTTCAATCTACTTCTGTTGTCATTGATTACCAATTTACCATCCCTTCTTACTGAAAGCATTTTCAGATGGAACCGTCGATGCTGGAATGGCTACGTGCTATGCGTGAGAGTTAATGATATTTAGTCAGTTTGCCTTCCACCAGATCCAATCTTGTAGATAAATGAGAGCCTCAAAAATCTCAGGTTTCAATCTACTTCTGTTGTCATTATTACCATCCCTCCTTACTGAAAGCATTTTCAGACGAAACTGTTGATGCTGGAATGACTACGTGCTATGCGCGAGAAGACATAATATTTAGTCAGTTTGCTTTCTACCAGTTTAAAGATATCAACATCAACTCGAGGCAATATATCTTCTTTATAGTATACTCAAGCTCATTAGGAACAATAGTCTTTAGGGAGAATTGCAAATATACCACTACTCTTACCCTCTAATTCGAAATAGCCATTAAAAAAACACAAACTGCAAATTTGCCATTAAAACTGATATGTGTACCTTCCGTTTACCATTGCCGTTTGAGCTAGTGCAAATAAGAAAACAAAAATAATTCATAAAACTAATGTGAAAAACAAAGCTGCACAACAAGACCGTTTTGCCCCCCTCCCTACCCCTCTCGCACGCAGAAGCCCCCATCTCCCAGAAAGGCAGGTCCCGATTGGCCGATTCCCTTCCCTATCCTCGAACCCTACTACATCCCCAAATCCTCTCATCTCTTCTTTCAAATCAAGAGCAAATCAAATAAAAATTGGTTGCAATAAAGTAGGATATGGTAAGGCAGCAAGGCGGGGATGGATTTTGCGGGGCAGCAAGGCGGGCGGCCACGGCGTGACGGCGCGGCGGTAGTTTGTGACGCTACGGAAGCAGCAGCGGCGAGCACGGCAGAGGCTTGTGAAGCTGCGGCAAACAACATCGGCGAGCACGGCTGCATCTTGGGCAGCTGCAGTGGCTTGCTGCTTCGGACTGCAGTAACAGCAACATGTTGTAGCAGCACCATGGCGACAGAAGAAAAAGGAGAGGAAAGACTCTGTTGCTTCAATTTCCTTGGCAGGGTAACATTGTCTTAATTTTCATCAAAACCAACCTTCTAACAGTGTTAGTCTGATCTGTGAGTCTAATGGCAAGGTTGTTGGGTTCTATCTGTTTTTGGTGGCAAATATGCAATAACATTTTTTATAATGGCAAATTCACCATACCGGTTCAAACCGATGGCAAATATGCAATTGACCCAGTATTTACCTGTTTGCTCAAGAATTTATCCCAATCAGCATGGTGCCCATACTCTTGAAAAATGCATGCTTCAGTAGCACTTCTTCCACGAGTCAATTCAATATCTTGGTCATTCATTTTTGGTGAATAATCAGAGAAAATTTCTTCAATTGTCTTTGCTCAACTTATAATTGGCCTCACAATTCAATATCTTGGTCATTCATTTTTGGTGAATAATCAGAGAAAATTTCTTCAATTGTCTTTGCTCAACTTATAATTGGCCTCACCTCCAAAAGGTTGCTCAAGGCGAAATTTCACATATGAATACTTAAACCTTGGGTCTAGAATCACAGGAATAGACATAGTTAGGTATGAAATATTCCAATAATCTTGAAAGTTCCGCTTAATAACCACCACCATTCTCACAATTCCTACATCTTCATTTGATTAATCTTGATCAAGTGTTGACTTGATTGCATAGATTTTAGCAAAGTAACGATACGAGGTGGGATATTAATTTGTTTTAGAGACAACAGTGTTAGAATCATAGAATACCTCTAAGAACCTGCAAACATCTTTAGCCATTTTCCACTCCTGATCTGATGGTTTATACTTGAAATTGATATCTTGCAACTTCAGCTCAATAAATATACCTTTAAATTCTGAAGCACAATCCAACATCAAGTAAATGTAATTCCATCTAGTTGTGGCATCATGGCATGGCCGTCTTTCACATGAAATTCTAACTTGCACAATTATGTCTTCAAAATGCTCTTTTGCTGACATGCTCTCACTTTCTCCTTTTTCTATGGGATGGACGGATGAAGAAATTGTCATGTTTTTATTTTCACACAAGTGTTGTACTTGTAAACCGGCATGCTATAATAGTACCCAATATTTAGATAGATTAAATCTACACTATAATTACAATGTAATAACTAACCGTGTAATTTGGTGTAATTTTTTAGATGTTGACTATAAATACTAAAAAATTGTTTGAAACATTTTTGTACGAATTCCATTCAAATATGTTATTATCGTTGTTGGTATTTATTGTGACCACATAATATTATGTAAGCGCACAGATATTGTTGTAGTTTTCACCCAAAAGTATTCTAGGGTATCGTATCCACAAGGAACGTGTGTATAATCTAAGAACAAGATTCTTCCAAGGACAATAATTAAATGGTACCTCGAGGATATAGAGGATTCCTATGGGTTACTTATCTTAATTAAATTAAGGCAAAACTCTATCAATTGCTTCGGACACCGGCTTACCCCTGGTTTGCCAAGGAGACTCTGGCCTACAGTTCTATGGTGTATTCGAATGTGGAGGATTACAAAAGACGGACATAATTATCACCACCTGCCGCCTACCTCTAACCTAAACACCACATATATGTTATTAATTACTACCCTAATCTCGAATCCTTATAGAAGATTAAGGTACTCTACCTAAACAGAGCGATGAACCCGCAACAATGAGAATATATCTTATTAAAATAAGAAAAGTAAATACCAAAGGGGATCATGAATACTTATAAAATAAGCATTCGTCGAGGTACAAGATCGGAGAGAGTGTAGACATCTCTGGCACTCCTCCGAACTCCCTTGGAAGAATGCCGACATCTTCGACACTCCTTCGAAACTCCCGGAGAAAACTCCGACATTTGGGGCACTCCTTTCAGAGCTTCCCCTCACTCTTTCCTACTCTACTAAAGGAATGCCTAAGTATATAAGTGAGTTGTACTCCACTTGTTGGTGCCAATTGGAAGTGAGGAGTGGAGGGGCTACTTATAGTGTGGAGATGGGTTGAGAAAGTGGAGATGCTAAGGGAATATTCTCCTCCAACTCCTCTCAAGCCTCCACATGTCCTCCAACCATCATTGGATAGAGGTTTAGTGCCTTGGGACATGTGCCACCGTCTTCAGGAGAGCGAGGAGGGACGCCACGTGGAAGCTGAGCGTAAGGGGGCCACCCCTAGTTCGTTCGAACCCTGGCTGAGTCCGTTCGCGTGGCCTTTCGTCTGGGTCACTGCCTGGTGGGTCCTCATAAGAGTGCATGGTGGTTGTCCTCAAATATGTTGATTTTACTATTATTTGTAAACCTTCCAATCTGTGTACTTGCGCCTGTTTGGCTAGAGGTATATTTCATCGCATGACGGGTGATTTTCATTCATATTTCACTTGCATACAAATATTCATCAAGACTTGTAGAAGTGGTTAGTAATAACCACTACCTTTAAGTTTGGTATTCCATTAGTTATTCTTTCGTTTGCTTTTATGCATGATTTGATGGTCGGATTCGGTACTTAAGGACCATCAATAATGGTATATGCCAGAGCTTGTTGTTTATGCAGACCCGTAGTTTCTTAAAAACTATTACTCGTCACATTATTCATAGACCTACTAACAAGGGTTACATTTATTAAAGCCCAATATGCATCTACCTTGGTGAATTACTAGCCAGCCACATCTATACTATTATAAAAATTGATAATGTTTCCACTGGGTATTTTGGTACGTCACCGCCGTTGTTGTATCTTATTTGATCTCTCGTTTGGTCTGTTGTGTATTGTACATCTCCGGCTCCCAGATACCATATCTTTTGTTCCCATATTATTCTTTCTTTCCAAATTCTAACTGCAGCCCAATGCCCAAGCCCATGTTTTTTTTCTTTTAACCTGTTTGTACCGCTCTAATTATTTCCTATTCAGTCCTGTTCTCATAGTCTGCTTCACACGATGGCAGGATCCCAAGCACCATATATCGTTCCCGGTCTCCGGCGCGCCAAATCTCGACCTTGTCTCCTACCCGACGCTCCACCTAACTACCTCTGCCGCCAGCATGCAGCGAGGAGAGAGCTAGAGGC